TAACTCGGTAAACATTTACATCTCAACAAATCTGAATGTTATGAAAAGGATTGTTTTTGTCACTCGTTTCAGAAAGTGAAACTCATTAATGATGCAGATTCATGAAAATATTTCAAGTCTTGATTTCCTGTAATTTTGGTGATTCTGGCTGCAGAGAAAGTCTGTTCTATATTACTTATCTTGCTCTGCCTGCAGCAGGAGGCCGGTTTAACAAACCCAATGACCCTTGAACAGGCCAGATGTTGCTTTATGTGTTCGGACCTTCTAAATGTCGGGCCTGCTCCAGCAGAGCGATATATAAATACACACACAGTTTAAAGCATGTTGAGCTGGAACTAAATCACACACACAGGAGGATCTTAGAGCTCATGACAGAAATATTGTCAGCAGGATTGTGTACGAATGACAAAAAACACATTTTAAGTGAATTCAGAGGTTTTATAAAAGGCCTTTATGGCATACTAACTGTAGGTAATGCAAGCTAATGTTAAGTTTAAATTACTTTAGGATCGTTAGGATCTGCTGCTTCCAAAATGTCACACTGGCCATTACAGTTTAATAATTAAGTCTGTGATCAGCTTGCTACCATTAGCATTATGGGGAAAAAACATAACATAAATTGTAAAAGTTAAAAACAAGATGAATCTTTATAACCTACCAAAAAATAAAAATCACCGATCTTGGTCAATCACATGGAGAAAATGTATATTTTTAAAGTATTGTTTTAAATATTTGGATTAAATTTTATGTTTTTATTAAACCTCCCGTTTCTGTTTACTGGTTAGTTGGCCAGATGAGTTCACTACCAAATAAGGTGCTTTCTTACCTTACTCGGACTTAAAACCCAAAACTACACTAAGAGACAACAGGTACTGTGACAGTAATTAAGATGTTATTTTAATAAAGCTACAATGACAAATATGGAAGACAAATGAGCTTCTAGCATTTTTCCATGCCTCTTGACGTTATAACATGTTTATGTTTATTTATTTGGCAGACAGTTTTATCCAAAGCGGCGTACAACTTTTAACACATAGGTCACGTTGTGTTCTGTGGGGGAACCGGAGTACTCGGAGGAAACTCACGCCTACATGGGGAGAACATGCAACTCCACGCAGAAAGGCCGCAGCCGAGTTTCGAACCTGCAACCTTCTTGCTGCGAGGAAACAGTGCTAACAACTGCGCCACCATGCAGCATTGTATAGCTATAAAAATATTGTGGAGATTAAAAAAAACATTTCATTAAGTGGTTCTCTCGCATTTTTCTAAAAACCTCCACCAATAACGTAAAAGCAACTATGAACCATCCGGTCTCATCAGGCTGCTGCAATTCCCTGGGTCCTCCATTCATTACACACTCACATATTCAGCAACAGAACACCACTGGTGTGAGAAGTTCTCTGCTCTATAATATCAGAGAAGGAGAAACAGCCGGCTGCTACCACTTCAACTTTAGTACAAACTACAAGAGTCATCGTACCCCCACCATTTAAAGTCATAGACAACAATACGTTTGGACCTGGACTGATGTTTAGCACCATCTCGTTTTGTGGGTTTCTAGTCTCAGTAGCCCTTTTTACAAGACACACCATGCTGTCAAATCAGCGTAATATTACAGCAATGGTGTGTCTTATAAACGCGCCATGCCAGCATGGCGTTGCGCACATTTTTCGGCATTTGTTCCGCCACACTTGGTAGTAATAGTACGGTAATGGTCTGTCTTATAAATGGCGATTTAACTCAGGCAAAACTGCAAATTTTAGTTTTATTTGTCATTTGATAATTTTTCTGCGCAAAGTTCATCGATTGAACAAATAAAGTTACAATATAGAGAATAAATAGAAAAAAAAATTTCTCACCCTGAGACTACATTCATAAATATCAGCTGGGTTTGTTCCAGGCATGAAAACCTGCATTTCCAGTAAGAACAGCAAATAAGTGAGTAACTACCTGCTGTTGTTTGGGTTGGGTCAGAACCATCCGAGACTTCTGTATCTTTATCTCTGATCAAATGCAGGAAACTTAGTTTCATGGTAAAGTCCTCAGATGTGAAATTAAATGGTAAGAAAGTATCCAAATTTGTTCTGTGTCGGTTATCCAATCCCATTATTTGGTTTGCTTTTGAACACAGAGTAGCAGACATTTGTTTTTACCTTCTTTGCTGAAAAGTAAGCAAGCTGGCAGAAAAACTGAGACGAAGTGACGCCACCAACATCTGCGATGCTCTGAAAAAAGCTATACAGGTCCTCCTCAAAAAATTAGCATATTGTGATAAAGTTCATTATTGTCTGTAATGTACTGATAAACATTAGACATTCATATATATTAGATTCATTACGCACAGCTGAAGTAGTTCAAGCCTTTTATTGTTTCTAATAGTGATGATTTTGGTATACAGCTCATGAAAACCCAAAATTCCTATCTAAAAAAATTAGTATATTTCATCCAACCAATAAAAGAAAAGTGTTTTTAATACAAAAACGTCAACCTTCAAATAATTATGTTCATTTATGCATTCAATACTTGGTCGGGAATCCTTTTGCAGAAATGACTGCTTCAATGCGGCGTGGCATGGAGGCAATCAGCCTGTGGCACTGCTGAGGTGTTATGGAGGCCCAGGATGCTTCGATAGCGGCCTTAAGCTCATCCAGAGTGTTGGATCTTGCGTCTCTCAACTTTCTCTTCACAATATCTCACAGATTCTCTATGGGGTTCAGGTCTGGAGAGTTGGCAGGCCAATTGAGCACAGTAACACCATGGTCAGTAAACCATTTACCAGTGGTTTTGGCACTGTGAGCAGGTGCCAGGTTGTGCAGAAAAATGAAATCTTCATCTCCATAAAGCTTTTCAGCAGATGGAAGCATGAAGTGCTCCAAAATCTCCTGATAGCTAGCTGCATTGACCCTGCCCTTGATAAAACACAGTGGACCAACACCAGCAGCTGACATGGCACCCCAGGCCATCACTGACTGTGGGTACTTGACACTGGACTTCAGGCATTTTGGCATTTCCCTCTGCCCAGTCTTCCTCCAGACTCTGGCACCTTGATTCCTGAATGACATGCAAAATTTGCTTTCATCCGAAAAAAGTACTTTGGACCACTGAGCAACAGTCCAGTGCTACTTCTCTGTAGCCCAGGTCAGGCGCTTCTGACGCTGTTTCTGGTTCAAAAGTGGCTTGACCTGGGGAATGCGGCACCTATAGCCCATTTCCTGCACACGCCTGTACACGGTGGCTCTGGATGTTTCTACTCCAGGCTCAGTCCACAGCTTATGCAGGTCCCCCAAGGTCTGGAATCGGTCCTTCTCCGCAATCTTCCTCAGGGTCCGGTCACTAGGGCTGTCGCGATTGAGGAATTCCCCCTGCGGTGATTCAGGGTGGCTTAATATTGCGGTGTGCGATATTATTGCAGCATTTTCTTTTTATTGCAGTACTATCTAAACATAATGTTTACACATTTAAAAAAGGTTAAAAATTGCCGTGCCTTCTTTTATAACACTTTACTGAATGCAGATCAAAGGGCAGTAACAACACAAATCGCAGTAACGTTTGTTTCTCCGACAGTCAGAGTCCGACTGAACTTAAAAACAACAAAATTCAGGAGAAGGTTAAACTTTTAAATGCAAATTTGGCTGCAGCATCTAACAAATAAGAAACAAGTCCCCATTTTGTTTAGTTGTTTAAAATCAAGCATAAAAAATTACATGTACCGGGCACGGGGCACTATCATTTCACTTTCACACACACGAATGACAGTGAATTATAGCTCAGTCACGTACTTGTTACCTACAAGGAAAACCAGCATGTTAACCATATACGGTTTGAGAGAGGATCTGAGAGGGGTGGCAACATTTCCAGCAACACTGAAAACCCTCTCGGATGGTGCGCTCGTTGCACTAACTCACACGTACTTGCGTGCGACTGGCGAGCAAAGGGAGTCTCTCCCGGTTGTTGCTCCACCATGTCAGGGGGGTTTCTTTAGGGTCGATGCATTCCTCCTGCAGGTAGCGAGTGAGCTCCAGCTCAGCTCAAACTCTTCAGGACGGTTGCAGAAGCAGTGCTTGTCCGGGACTTCAGGAGGTCTCCGAGCTTTTATTTATTTATTTATTTTTGCCGCTGGTGGCAGCTCTGTCTCGGCCAAGGACTCTGGCTGCGCAGCAGCTGATGTACTGAAAACCAACGTGCTCCCAAAGGAGCGAAGTAACGTTTCGTTTTGATACAGCCATCCTTCTCAACATGTATCATTGAGTTGAATCAAGTTCAGTAATAGCGGTGGCCCATGATGCAGCGCGGTGGGTTTCTTCATATTGCGATATTTCATTTTTGCGGTTACCGTGACAGCCCTACCGGTCACCTCTTCTCGTTGTGCAGCGTTTTCTGCCTCGCTTTCTCCTTCCCACAGACTTCCCGCTGAGGTGCCTTGATACAGCACTCTGGGAACAGCCTATTCGTTCAGAAATTTCTTTCTGTGTCTTACCCTCTTGCTTGAGGGTGTCAATGATGGCCTTCTGGACAGCAGTCAGGTCGGCAGTCTTACCCATGATTGCGGATTTGAGTAATGAACCAGGCTGGGAGTTTTTAAAAGCCTCAGGAATCTTTTGCAGGTGTTTAGAGTTAATTAGTTGATTCAGATGATTAGGTTAATAGCTCGTTTAGAGAACCTTTTCATGAAATGCTAATTTTTTTATAGGAATTTTGGGTTTTCATGAGCTGTATGCCAAACTCATCAGTATTAGAAACAATAAAAGGCTTGAACTACTTCGGGTGTGTGTAATGAATCTAATATATATGGAAGTCTAATGTTTATCAGTACATTACAGACAATAATGAACTTCATCACAATATGATCATTTTTGAGAAGGACCTGTAGATGTAGCAGAAACTTGTCAGCAAAGAAGGTAAAATCAAATCTCTACAACTCTGTGTTCAGAAAAGAACCAAATAATGGAATTGGTAAGTAAGTAGTTTACTAGTTAACTAGTAGTAGTAGTAGTAATTACCATTATGGGACATCCCAACAGAGAGACATTTCTGGAATCTGCAGAACTGGCACTTGTTTCGGTTCTTCTTCAGAATTTTACAGTTGCGCTCACACTTATCGTACTCCAGCTTCAGCCGGATGGTTCTCCGAAAGAAACCCTGGATGAACAAACATAAGATTCATTCATTCATTCTGTTATACACTTTAGCAGAACTGGCAGCTCGGTTAGCTAAACCAACCACCTGGTGTGAGCATTAATTAAGCATCAGTTATGGGAAAGAAAGAGACATTACTGAGTTTTTCACATGCACTGAAGTACACAGGAATCCTCACTTCTCAGAGTGAAAGAAAACTGAAGTTCTTCTACAAACCAAAGATGTTTCGGAGGAAGATCCCTGAGTGGGTGAGACAAACTACAACCCTTCAACACTCAAGTCTGGGAGCAGAGCCAACACAAACTAACAGATGTCACACATATGGCAAAACATATGATCCTGTGATGAACTCTCACCCAAACACATCAACGCAACACCAGTCAGGACATTCTTCAACCCTCACTCCCCAGCTGGGAAAAATGACTTATCCCGCAACATATCTGAAGGTGTGCGGTCGTGAAACACACCAGCCACCATTTTGCACAACAACTTGGCCGTGTTTATGCTCATGAGTAGTTTTGGCACATTGCTGTCAAGGGTTATGATGTGTCACACATCATGTTTTTGTGTCAGTTTTAAAGAGAAACAGATGGTTTTGTGGGAGAACTGAGTGAAACCTTTATGAATACAGTTAAGCTTACAGTTTATTAAATGACAAGTCTCCAAAAATGGATTTCGTGACAACAAGGATGGAAAAAAACAGATGTTTGTGTGCTTAATGTGGAAATCTGTGAGTGGGCCGGTGTAGATATTTTGTGTTGGTAGAAACACGAACAGATTTCTGTGTGATGAAGCACAGCCTTAAACGGCTATTTCATTTAACAAAAATCAAAACTGAAAATGGAAGAATATTGAAGATGATGTGGCAAACTGAGGTTTTTTTTGAATGACAGTTTTCTGGTTACAGAATCACACGCTGTCATTACCACACACAGTCCACACATTCCTCATGTTGAGTGCTCTTCTCTTTAAAGAAAGGTGCTGAAAATCATACCCAGAGTCCATCCTGTGTGCACAATTACTTCCATGATGTCACAATATAAGTCAGGAAAAATTAGGAGCAAAGTGCAGTCAGAGCACACCTCAAACGCATCGTTCCACGTCATCGTGTCCCAACAGCATGACAGTTACAGGCTGCATGCCAAGGCAAACAGCTGCTCTGGTGGCACGATGGACATGGCCTGTTTGATAAAGACAAGTCTCAGTGGTGAGTCCAGGTCAAGTCTCAAGTCAAAAAGAGCAAGTCTACAGACCGGACCACACTCTGTATTGTTTTAGCAATCCTAGACAAATGCCTCGTTGGGAACAGAATCGGGACAAAAAACAGTAAAGGTGACACTGATTTAAAGGTCTGTGGCCGTCCAGCATGACCGGCTCAGCGACAGTTTTTGAGCATTCCAACTGTCTTCAAACACTGCTTGAAAACCCGTGACTCATGTCTGCAAATGACCTGTGAAAATACACCCAGGGAGTGACGGGAACACGATAGGAGAGTAGAATTAGCAACATTAGCAACAGTGGAAGCTACACACAGGTACATGTGGAACACTCCGTTTTGGAATTAGGTTCGGAGTTGCTTTTGCACTTTTTTCTTTTTTCATCTTTGTTGTCTTGGGTCGGTCGGCTTTTAGTGATGTACGCGTTTCGACGAGTACGTACGTGACGTTAGTGTGTCCTAATAGAGCGAGAGATTGTGCAATTTGGTGACATGAAGTAGTTATTTCCGACAGCCAGAAGACAGACAGTGTGGTCCAGGTTTTAGCCCATTCTTGAGTCTCTAACGGGCATATCTAAGTCCAGGTCAAGTCCAAAGTCCAAGTCATCGATGAACAAGTCCAAGTCAAGCCACATGTATCTAAGGGGCAAAATCTACTCATGTTCCAAATCTTTATAGCACAAGATCAAGTCAGGCTTCAAATCTTAAGTACAGGTCATGTCTGAATTCTTAGAAGGCTAGTCCAAGAAAAGTAGAGCACAAGTCAAGTATCGAGTCCTTGTCAGGCAAGTCCACATCTGATGAACAAGTCAAACCATAAGTCTCTGAAGATTTATAACTTTAGGACACAAGTCCCAAGTCCTTAAGGGACAAGTCCAAGTCTTCGATGAACGAGTCCAACTCAAGCCACAAGTCAATACTCAAGTCTTAAAATCCAAGTCAAGTTTCAAGTCTTTAGAGGGCAAGTATAAGTCATGTCTGAATTATGTAAATTACAAGACAAGTCCCAAGTATTTGAGGTACATGTCCAAGTCTCATGTTTTTAAAAAGACTCTGGATTCGAGGCAGCAGTAGCTCAGAGCGGGCTGTCCAGTAATCGGAGGGTTGTAGGATTGATCCCGGCTCCCGGCAGAGAATGCTGCTGTTGTGTCCTTGGGCAAGACACTTAACCCTCATTGCCTCCTGGTGGCTGGAGGGACTGGTGGCGCCAGTGCTCGGCTGCCTCGCCTCTCTCAGTGCACCAGGGCAGCTGTGGCTACACAGAAGCTCATCATCACCAGGGCGTGAATGTGTGTGAATGGGTGAACGACTGTGTTGTGAAGCACCTTGGGGGGTTATTGAACTATAGGAGGCACTAAATCAAATAAAAGTCATTTACCATTTGAGTCTATGTTTCAGATTTAACTCTCCATCTCTGACTCACACAGATCTCATGACAGGTTTCAGGTTTCAAACTCCACTCTAAAGAAACATCAATGACTGTAAAGGTTTACAACCCTCCTGAGCTAAACTTCCGTCTGGTCCGTGTGCTTTAGATTACTGCCAACAGGAGCTCTCCAGTAAAACCCAAAGAGCGGCAGAGTGAATTGCCAATATTTACTGTAATCAGCTTTGTGCCGGCATCAGCTCCATGTTTAAAAGAAGGGGGTGAAAGGTAGTTACATCATCCACCTCACATGACCCGGCTGTCTGCATATCTCAGAAACTTTCCACTGACCTCGAGGCCAGGCACCTCTACGGCACGGGTTTGGTTTGGTTGCTATGTGCGCTGACACTTATTTGTCCTTGTGTACAATGTTTGCGTGATGTTTTTTCCCCATTTACGTAAATTGGCTAGCTACAAGCAGAAACACTTAAGAGATTAGCTTTTATACCATGTCAGTCTGACGTTAAAGCCATACATTTCTCACCTTGCAGCCCTCACATGCGTGAACCCCGTAGTGAAAGCCTGAAGCTTTGTCTGAGCAAACTCGGCACTCAAGGTTGAGGATGCTTGTGTTCTCATTTGGGCCAAGCTCCACTCCACAGACCCCAGATAATGGACTGGACGCAGGGGTCAAGGTGTCTACAATAAACAGTATAGAAAACAACATTTAGAGGTTTAATGAGGACCTATTCTTAGACAGTAGACAGTATGGACCTCTATGCTTCCTTCCACTGTGAAGTGGACTCATGATATCCTGCTTATAGCTGCTGCCAGGTTGTATATTTTGGATTAAACTCTACATACTTGGGATGTGATGCCTAAACTCCCTCCTACTTCTCAGCATATGATAATTGTGTTTATTAATGCATTATTTTTTTTATACTTAAAACATATAGAAGCAAGGCATCAAGAACAATGTCCCAGTTGTTTACTTGGGAAAAGGCGAGACTTAAAATGCTGAAACCAGCCACTAGATGGCACTCACCTTATTTAGGTTTTAACTTTCAGGTTGTTTAGTTTATTTTTATGCCAGTAAGTGTCTCGCTTAAGCAAATTATTGATTTACACTAAAAAGTCTGTACTGTCTAATGGCGTCTGATCAAAAATAATAAACATTTACATCTGCAGGCAGATTTAAACAGTAGCCAGTTAGCTTAGCGTTAACCTTTTTATTATTTTTAACTCAAGCTCTTTATTGTTAAATAACACTTTAATATTTAAATAGAAAAATAACACAGCTTTGTTATATGTAATGACATTTCAGCAGACTACATTTTCTAGTCTCTTTAATGCCAAGTTAAACTGAAAGCTAACATTAGCTTTACCACATGAGAAGTTAATGCTTTCTTCATTGATTATTACTGGTTACAGTTTAACTAATGCAAAAAACACGCTAGGTTTCTTTTCTGTTAAGATTTTTGCATTTAAGACATTTGTTATAGTTGTACAATAATTCAGTTTTATCGGCATAAAAACTAAAAATTCTATTAATGTGATCAATGCAATAGTGTGTTAATGATCAGAGTCAACTGGAAAAAACATGACATATAACACATGCTTTTGGAAAATTTCAAAACATGAACCTATTTCCATAAAAAAGCATACAGAATACAGTAGATTTATTAAGTATATAAATTTCCATTGTATTTTATTTGTTCATGGTCTGCTGGACAACAGACCTTTAGTCAAGAATGCAGAGATAACACTGGAAGGAGTTCATCTAATCTTCTGTTATGAACCAGTAAAACAAAACAGTTGGTCTCTGAGTTCATACAATCATTAGTTTGCATTTATTTAACAGTTCATTGTGTGTTCTTTCAAAACAAGACCATTTAACTCTTGACCTCACCCAGTGTGATGGAGCTCTTGGACACTGAGCCAGGACTTTGGTAGTCCGGGAAATCAAATTCCAGTGAGTCATCTGCTATTGACCGAGAGATGCCAGGAAGATCCTCTATCAGGTCTCCACAAAGTGGACTGTCCAGCAGGGAATCCCCTAGTGGCGATGGGGGGCTGTAAAGATCTGCTGCCATGGTAGAGATCAGGGATCCAATCTTTGGAGACAACCCCTCACTCACCAGACTGGGATAAGAGGACAGATGGGTCAAGGTAAACAACAGACTGTAAACTCAGCTACATTTGTATTATACACATTTGAGAACGTAAAAACCTGAGGCCCCATTAATCATACCTCACGAATCCGATTCCAGTTCATATTTTAGTTTACAACTACGAACAACCCCCAGAACCTCCTCTGCTCCCTGATCATACACGCTGCGTTGCCAAGGTAACCAGACTGAATGACCACTCAGAGGCTGCCCTCTCAGGCAACATTTCCAAATAAAACTAACTCAAACAGAAAGACTCCTTAAATGGAAACGACAACTTCTCCTCTGTCCCGACCACGTTTTTAACCTCTGTAACTTCGGCAGCCAGTGTTTCAATCTAGTTATCAATAAAGTTTTTTCTTCTTTTTTTTTTTTGAAAAAAAAAAAAAAGGAATCCCCCCACATGCTGAGGACCAAATATGGTTAATTGAGGGTGTTTCTCTATGCAAATGGCTGTCAACAAGCACGAGCACCTGAGTACGCACAAAAGGGATTTATCAACAGCTGATTGTGGAGGAACGTGTGTACGAGAGGCCACCACATGTTTCATGAATCAGACTTTGGGCTGTACGTACAAACATTCTAAATTCCATTCGTAGGGTAGAATATAGGAATGTTTCTACGAACGTTTGATAAACGAGGCCCCTGCACTCTACTCCGACATTTTCAAACTGGATGTAACAGGATATTATCTTGAGGTCTCAATGAATCATTGATGTTGATCTAAGCAGCTTGAACTCAACCCAAGGAGAGGTTTTGACCCATCACAGTGTGTATGAGAGCCCGAGAGAGGCCCATGTCAGCAAGGAAAGTCATCACTTTGGGGGTTTTGTTCTGAGACCATTCCTGAGGCCAAGAAGCATTAGTTTGTTATCTAAAAGAGCACAGCAACCAGAAGCAAGGATTGGTTTTAACAATTAAACACGCAATACTTTAGCGAACAAAGTATTGGGGTTTATGTTATGTTTTCTGAGGGAAACCCTGACATCAGTAAAATATTAACAAAAATTTGGAAAAATTATACCTGCATCAACAGCCTCTGCTGGCAGGCCAAAATCCTACCATCCTTGAACTGCAGTCAAGGGCTGCCCTTAGCTGCAGTCATTTGGCAGTAGCAGCTGCTTGGTAATCAGTCAAATATGCAACGGCACAGCCAATAATCAATAATTTAAAAGGTGTCAAATAGCTAATTTATATGTCGGTCTAACCATAACTAAAAGCATGCTGATTTTTATCCACAGAGCGCAATGCCATCATGTCCATGTCCATTATACCCCAGCACTCACAACCTGGCAACACAATTCTATAAAGTTCTCTCTGTGCTATTTAAGCAATATAATGTAAATTATATTAATTGTCACAGACAGCTAGACATTATTCCAACAGAAAAACGAACCCCTTGAATAGCGCACAATGCTGGGGGCAAGAGGACCCTCTGCAGCTGCTATCCATACCCATGTCTCCGTGATTTAAGCTAACAAAACAAAACCTGCTAATTTAGATATTACTATTTTAGATCATCCAACACATCTTTGAGTGAAAAGTTACATGTTTAGCACAAAGCTTTTAGATCCATTAGAAAAAGCTAATGAGCTGTGGCTGCTTGTTCAGTTTGGGGCAACAATTATGTTATCAACACGCCTGGACTTTACACAGCTGAAGCTACGAAGGTGCAACCAGGTCTCTTCTGCCTTGAGCGAGTTAAGGTTGAAGGATTGCTGTGACACAGTTGGTCTTTGGAGATAAATTGATTCTCTGTTTATTCTGGCTAGCTCAGTAAACAAAAACACCAAACAAACAACATTAGAGCAGATCTCAGGATGAAGAAACGTTTTATAAGCCCATAAATAAATAACTATTATATATCTGATTTACTTGACAAGCTCAGTAAACACAAACCAAATGAGGTTAAAGGCCGCCCGCTCCAATGACAGAGCATGTTTTGTGTAGCCCGGTTACAAAGGCAAACAAGTCATTAGATGGAACTTGTTCGTGTCTGGACATGTGGGGCAGATACTTGACTTTTTTATTCTGTCACGAGACTTTGGCTGCTACGATGCGGACGGATCATCTGAACTCTCTTCAGGGCTGTTAACCCTTGCCTTCGGCATGTTTTATTATTCTTTATTTATCAAATATTTTTGGCAAGATAAATCCCAACCTGTCCAGTTACTTACTGACCAGCGAGCGTAAAAGACTACACCCTATAAAAGTGCATTTACATTAGAGTGTGGAGACACAAGCTTTTAGATTGACCCGTTTGTGTTTGTCTTGATTTTATTTTTTATGAAAATGTTTTTTTAATTATTATGGGATGTGCATCCTTAATGCAATCATCTAATCATATGACCATAAAACTCAGAACATCAGTTTGTTCTTAACGCATGACAATACAACCGTATCTGTGTAAAAGAAACTAACAAATCCAATCTATAGAGATTTCAGATCAGATCTCCATTCACACATCTGCGCCCATCTTTTAAAGCCAGCGTGACAGAAACGTGAGATTGAGCAACTTAAATGTTGCTAAGTGTTCTGTCTGAACTCTAATGCTTAAAATCGGATGATTATGTGAAATCCTGTCTTTATCTGGCGGAGCAGCAAATATGTACTCAGTCAAACCTCATGGTCAGGCATCGAGGGCGTGATTGATCAAAGTATGCTTGTTCTTGTTTATCTGGTGTTTGCCTTGCAGCCTTTCACGGGACAAGTCCTGACAGAGCGCCAAAGTTGAGTAAAAGTGGAATAAAGATCTGTGAGCGTAGCACCGAATATACAGGATGTTTACAACACAGGCTTCGTCTCTGTTAAGGGTTTTCTAACAAAGCACAGTAAAGTTGTTGGACGACAGTCTTGGACAGCTGCTGGTCAGACGAGAGCCTTTGATGTGAAGAATCTGCCCTCTGACAGAGCGATAAACCCCGGCTGTCAGCAAAGATTCACTTCCTAATGCTTCCGGGATCTAATTCTAAAATGTGAAATTTCTCAAATTTTTTGCCCCACAGATAATTGTCTGTTTAGAGTCCTTCTTATTTTGTCAAACTAATGTGTTTCAGATCAGCAAACAGATTTCAGTATCAGACAAATGAAGTTTTCAAATGACAACTTCCATTTATCATTGGCAAAAAGGTGAAAAAGTAAACGCCCCCTTGTTAAATCATGAATTAAGCACATTATTTGTAAAACTGTGTCACAAGCCACATCTGGGTCTGATCCCTGCCAAACTGGTACAATTAAGAAATCTCTTTTATAAAACGTGTCGGGCAACACGAAGCAGGATAAAAGATTAAAAAAGGCAAAACACCATGTCTGGTTCTGAATAAACTCTACAGAAACAGAACAACATCCAAAGCATTTCAGGTCTCACTTGCCTAAGGTTAGGGTCCAAGGTCATCATTTGAACAGAGATAGGGTGCATGCAAAGGAGGGTTTCAAAACCCAAACCTCTGCTGGACCACAGAGAGCAATGAAGGGCCTTCTCATATTTACCAAAAAGAAAACCAACATGAATATTTTTGTGAAAGTATTCCAAGAAGTGACGAGGCAAAAGGGGAAGTTTTAGGAAGGCCGTCCATTACATTTTGTATTACACTAATACTGTATTTTAGGGAAACAGGCAGACATGGTGTTGGTAGTGTGATGGTCTGGGGCTGCTTTGCCGCCTCAGAACCTCAAGGATAACCTTCTGTGACTGATGGAACCACAAATTCTGCTTTCCACCAGAAAATCCTGAAGCAGAATGCCCAACCACTGAATTAAAACAAGCCTGTAAAGAAGAGTGGGACACTATTCCTCCACAAAGACGTGAGCGACTCATTACTAATGTTTACAAATGCTTGACTGCAGTATCATACTGTAATGGACAGAAGACGGAAGCTGCCGGACTCTGAGGGCGTGGTGATTGGACACCAGCTGGTCCTCGTTATCCATAATGAGGCCAGGGAGGATAAAAAGGTGACAGGTCTACTGAGAAGTGTGCGTGGTCGACCTGTCATTGTGGCATCGGACTTTGGGGGGTGGGGTTGTTCGCAGTCGTTTAGGGCTGCCGGCGACGAAGATAGTTAAGCAGGTGTTTAGAGTTCCAGCATCAGGAGGGAAGGCTGGTCGCCTTCTTTAGACAGCGAGGGCTGGGCATAGTGGATGTCAAGACCACGCTGACATCTGCCGCTACAGACTCTGGCAGTGGACTTACTTTGTGGATTTACCCGCCGTCCTCGCAAGCTACATCCCGGGGCGTTGGACGGCGTTGGAAGCTCAGACCCCGGGGAGGGGGGTCACACCATCCGTGACAGCTAAGTACCGCTGCTTGTGTGTTTATGCTGGACAGCTGATTTTAGGAGTGGAGACTTTGGCCACAGTGTTTTATTATAGTGTTTTATTATTGGGTTCTATTATTGTGTTTTAGTTATATTGTATAATAAAGCATATCCTTTTATAAGTTATTGCCTACTGGTGGTGTTTTCGGGTTCTGACTGGAGGGCCAGATATTCTGCCCGTGCTGCCCACTGCAACTTTCATTACACTGGTGTCAGAAGTGGTATCTAGCTATTCAAAATGTCAGAACCTGGAAATAACACACCTCCTCCATTGAGACCAGCTGAAAATCAGCCCGTGAGCGCAGCGGCTCGGCCGATTTTTATGCCGGAGAGCTTTTCCGGTGTTGGCCGTGAATGGGCAGACTGGGTTGAACAATTTGAAATGGCAGCCGATATAAATAACTGGGATGAGCCCCTTAAGTTGAAGTTTCTGTGTCTCCTGTTGTCTGACAAAGCTCGAGAGGTTTATAATGGCTTGTCAGGGAGTGTTAAAGCAAATTATGCCATGTTGAAGGAGCAAATGGGGAAGTGTTTGGATCCGTGTGACAGCGCTGATTGGAATAGAGCTGTTTTCTCCGCTCGACGTAAATGGCATAATGAAAGTGTCAGAGAATTTGGGATGGCATTACGACGATCTGCTGTTAAAGCTTACCCGACA